CGGAAGAAGCCTGGCTGCATCGCATAAGTTTGTGCGTGCATATCATACAAAAGTCCTGCAGAGTTGAGGCCGACGCATGTACGCGTTTCAGAGGTTCGACTGATCCTTCCTGGAAGACTCATCATCACGGATGCAAAAGGCATTGGCTCGCCGTAGATGGGTGTCTTCATGGTGTGTGAAGTTCATCTGTCCCATGCTCAGAAAGTGGTTTTGTAATGGTTCTGTAAGGGCTCCGAAATATGCTTCTTAAGCGCTTTTAAGCAAAGTAGAGGGCAGGCTGCGAGATTTGCGCTTGCAGCCTAGGCATGCAAAAACAACTTCCTCGTCAAGAAGACGGCGAAGACTGTGTACAAAGTTGAGAAATGCGCGGAGAAGGCGGTGAAGAGAGCAGAGCACGTGACGCTTGGCGCCGATCTCCGGATCAGCTCAGCTCTGCTCACCCTCGCTATACTTCATCCGCTTGCATTGGCAGCACAGTCTACTCTCTTCATTACTAGTCACTAGCGCTGGAAGCACACTTCGCTAAGGAACCTTACGCAGGAGGAGCAGATCAAGGAGAGCATTGGATGCAGCTTCGTTAACTCACCGTACTCTAAAAGTTGCAGCACAAGTGCAGAGGGCCAGGACAGCTCTGCTAAGGATCCGTACCATCTCGACTTGAAAGTATTTGCTGTCGGCCTGGGTGGTCCAGCTAATTCAATGTTAAGACTTGCATGGTATAGAAGTGTGCAGTGGACGAGAGAGGACACACCCACACACACACACACACGCACGCACGTGTGTCACATGAGTCCATGCGTGTGTGTGCGCTCCGTGTGTGTCTGTGTGTGTGTGTGTGTCTCTGTGTGTGTTTGTGTCTCTGTGTGTGTGTGTGTGTTCTGTGTGTGTGTCTCTGTGTGTGTCTGTGTGTGTGTGTGTGTGCGTGTGTGCGTGTGTTCTCTGTCTGTGTGTGTGTGTGTGTCTGTGCGTGTGTGTGTGTGTGTGTGTCTGTGTTCTCTGTCTCTGTGTGTGTGTGTGTGTGTGTCTGTGTGTGTGTGTCTGTGCGTGTGTGTGTGTGTGTGTGTATGTGTGTGTGTGTGTGGGTGTGTCTGTGTGTGGTAGCGCTTGGATCCAAGGCTGGTTGCAGAATTGCGCCTTTTTCTGCAAGAGGGTGCAACTGAACGGTCCTGACATACGCTTGTACAGTGTTAGCTTTGACTTGCCTGGCTTCGTTCTCTTCGATTCTCAAAGTTGTCGTCTAAGCCTGGAGCCCTAAATCACTCAAAATCGAGATGAGCAGCTGAGCCCCAAGCACCATCAAGCAGCAGCATAGAGCAGCAAGCTTTCTGTACCGCCGGAGGGAAAACCGCCGGAAGCGCGTCCTGATACCGCGCAGCAGCACCGGGGCTGCAGAGAAGGGCGCGATGTGTCGCAAGCGACTTGTGGTGACAGCTTTTTCAACCAGGTGGACTTGTAGCAGTCCAGTGTGAAATGAAAAGTGTGGATGCCTGCTCTGGCATGCTGTTGCGTGCTTTCAAGCAATTTTGCAGGACTGCACATCCGAAACCCGTAGTTGCTGCAATCCCAATCACGGCAGAACCTCGCTCGACAGCGCACACTGCTGTGGCCCGAGCAAAGCTTAAAGCCTCTGTTGGAGTATGTTGGAGTCACTGTAAAGTTGTCCATAATGTCATCCTGTGCAACCTTGTGCAAGCCGAGGTTTCTCGATGCCATCGAAGTTTGCCGGCCATGCGAAGATGACGAAAAAAGATTGGCAAGACTTCGATAGCAGCGCAGCTCGGACTGTCGATCTTCAGGTTGTGACAGGTTTCGCTCGCGAGTGCTTCCGGATGCAAATAGTATCAGCAACTTTCAACCACCTCGCTGCGATGCTTACTTGGCCGAAAGAGACGCCGGTAGCACCGGTAACAGGACGCCGCCGGAGAGATTTCCCAGAATTGGGGTGGCGGTGATGGCTCCGAAGGCTCGGCTCGGGTGTGCTGTTGGAGGGCTTTTGCAGGCGTGACGAGGCAAGGTTCAAGGACGCCTGGGGCCTGGGGTTCAGAGATCGGATGGTGCTCGCAGCTTCACTGCCCCGGGCTCCTGAGATGCATCACATTGGAAAGACCGTGTGTGCACTGGCAATCACAAGTCCTAACGCCGCCTAAAGAAGTGCCCGTGGGAAGGTAACACACGGGAGTGGCATGGACGGAATGGCTTGGGGCATCGCCGTTATGGACACTACGGGCCACACTGGCACAACGGCCGGTACATGCCGCGTTTTCCCGGTCAGCACGGCCACTCGCGCGGCACTTGGGAGACAAAGCATCCCGGCCTCTGGGCGAAAGCAACCAAACGGCTTCCTAGCCCCCGTGCAGACCATGCGTCACAAACCCAAGCATGAGCTACCTCAGAGCCCAGTCCCAGGCCCAGGCGGCTACGGTCCCGGCGAATACGGACACGGGGACACATACGGTGCGCGGCCACATCCCAAGCGGCCCTTGCAGCCAGGCATGGCGCAGGGCAGCATCGAGGTCTCGTTGGAAAGCCATTTCGTTGCATGATTTCATGTAAGCAATAAGCGTCGCAAATCGTTGCGACCTGCGTGCATGTTGCTACTTCAGGCCGCGATTCCCTGTGTTAACAGCCGCTGTGAGGAATCACTACATGCTTCCTCCATTCTGACACCCAGGCATAAATGGTGTCGCTGGCGGCAGTGGAATGGGCTCTGAGGGCGAGCTGACGCCCAAGCAGCAGCACGAACAGACTCTTGGACACAGCGGCATCATGTCCTCGAGGCCGAGTTTAGGACGCTCTCTATTCAACCGCAGAGGGGCTTGGAGTTGGCATGGTGGTTTCGAGCAGGGTTCCGAGCTTTAGATACCGCCGCGCGAAACCACTTCGGGACAGAATCCAGGACAGGATCCGAAGTCCTCAATCTCATAGTCAAGATTTTTTCTAGCAACCAAGGGCAACCAACGCAAGCGAGGATCGGATGATGCAATCCTTTTGGAGCTGTGGTGCTTGTTGCACGCCTGGCATACCATGAGAAGCTTAGAGACGTTCCTGCACATCCGACTTCAAAGCCGCGCCGAACGAACTGAAAACCCCACCGAGCAGTTCCAACAGTGCTTCGGTTCCAGTCGCGCTGCCGTCAGTCCTGCTAAAACAGTTGCTTTGGAGGAGTTGAGTTGCAATGCGGGCTGCTTGCGCTGCTTCTGTGCGAGAGCGCCCTCCGCCTAGCTGGAGCGTTCCACTCTCCGAGCGACTACACGATCTGTACGCTGGAAAACCTCAACTGAAATGGGTCTGCTTTTTCCCATCTTCATTGTAGCCCTTTGCAAGCCAAGGGCTCTGATGAATCATGCAAAAGAGCTGGCCAAGGCGAGCTGGGAGAGGCCAAGAGAGGTGTGGATACAGCCAAGACTTATTGTAAATGCCAGATACAGTAGCCAAAGGGGCGCCACAACATGCCACAACCATGGTTGGACTTTGCAATAATATTGTACCTGGTGGAGAACGAGTCACTAGTTTCTTGAGCATCTTCCGACAAGTATTCCTGTCGTGCAGCACATGGTTCTTGCAGACATATGCTGCATTGCTCTCCTTCTCATACTTCCTGGCAAGGCCAATGTGGACGTCCCAGGTCCCTTCAGGACAGGGAAGCACCTGGAGGAGCTGCAGAGTGGAAGGGGGTCCGATTAAAATGGGCGCCATGCAAGCTCAGACGCCAGCGCTCATTGCAGAGGGCCTTGCTGTTGTCCAGCACTGTATCGCTCTGCCTGATTGGCGGCGGGGCCAAAGACTAGCCTAACCAAAGAATGTGCCGGCTGTCGATTGCCTGTCTTTTGCGTGCACCCCAAGCCGAGGCTCTAAGTAAAATATGTTCATCCGAACCAGACACCTCAGCAAGGAGCTTCCGCCACCAGCCCGGCCGCTGAAGCTTCTCGGCAGATGTACATCTACAGCAAAGCGTGCCTGGCACCCTCCAAACCTTTTGGTGTTCTTGCTGTGTGCCATTCCGAGGCCAATCTACCCCTATCCGCAGCCTCCCATCCTGGAGAGCGAGACAGCTTCCGTCACCACGCTCTGACCTTAACGGGAAAAGTTGCGCTTTTGTCCCACTATGTGTCCACTCAGTTTTTGAAGACTTCAGGATGCCAGTCTACAGTGGGCCCGATGCACCAGACGTGGCCATCTCCTCGTTGCCTGCCGGATCCTAGGTCAGCTAGGTGACAGGAATTCTCTACAGTTTGGACGGTGACTGCGTTCCTGTTCGAGATTGTCACCCTACGGGAAACCCACAGCACAGCGGCTAGTGAGTCAAGTCATGCCCTTCTGCCTCAGGATGTTCCCGGCGGATGGGCACAACTCATTTGCGGTATCTCGACCAGATTTCTTGGAAACTCGCAGCTCGTGGCATGCCCCTTCGAGTGGTGGTTTTGAGTGGGATGAACATCTCGTCGACTTCCAAGCTTGACGAAGCTGTGTAGCCAGCTCCATCAGGGGCACCCTTCAAACCCACAAGCATGATGTTCGGAGCAATACCAGCCTGATGATTCGAGATGTGCGAACTGCTGAGGTTAGCGTTGCTTTCCTCCTACTCGGGGCGCGACCAGAAGGAACACTGCTGCATTGTGGCACGAATGAGCATCCGGCCATATGATAGCACTCGTCTCCCAAGTGGCAAATGCTGACAACCCCTTGCCTGCTAACTATTGAAAGATCCTGGATTCCTGGATTGAATCCTCGTGAGGAACTTGCAGGCGCAGAGCCCTGGCCACCGAGTTCTTGACGGCCGCCGCTGTGAGCTGACAATGTTTGAGAGTGTTTGTCTATGCTTGGCGGCATGGCGACTTTTTCTCACAGCCGCCGCGACTGCCCCCGTGGGCGCTAGGCCCTCTAGGCTCTTGCATGACACGCCCGAAAGTGTCCAAAGATCGCACGAGCAAAAGACAGCTCTATGTGTGAGAGCAGTTCGTGGGCCGATTCGCATGTGATGTGCAGCGGCGAACCTGCAGGATCATTGCTACCTTCTATATGGCATGGGTGTCGAGGACTTACTGCTGTGAAGTGCTGCCTGCGTGTAGGAATCCGAACGCGAGAGCGCGATGCAGATCGTGATTCTCACGTGAATGTTGGGTGGAGACTCCATGGTCCTCTTTCAGTATTTCTTGAGGCTGGAAGCTTTTTGCCAGCAGCCATGCTCATGTGTAGTCATGTAGTCCTAAGCACTGCGAAGCCGAGGTCGGGCTAAGACCAAAAATAAAGCTTCAGTCCTACGCCTTTATAGCATAAACCCTTCGCCCATCGAACGATCATCCAGTGTCTGCAGCGGGCGACTAAGGTGTTGTGGGGTGTACCTGGTTTGGCTGCTGCGCTCAGCAGCTTGTCTCAGCTACTGTTGCTTCTGCTCAGCTGTGCCCGACCCAGCCCTCTTTCTTGCAGTTGCACTTCGAGACTTCAGCAGCTCCGGCCCTTCATGCAAGTTACCCTTAGCATTATGTGGGAATGTGGGGCACTGTTCCAGCATGCCAAGACAGCCATGCAATGCTTCGAAAAGCTGATATAGGGGTCGGAATAGATAATGCGAGTATCCCCTTGTAATTGCCGCAAAATAGGACGCTGCAGTATATGAATTTTGAATTGTAGGTGCATCATAGCTGCATGCCGCGGTGATTTCAGGTCCTTCATGGCTATCGCAGGACAGGTGGCCTCTGCTCGCTCGAAGTTCAAGAGCTCGCAGTGTACGACAAGTCAGTGTAGATATCTTTCGTGCTTTTTGCAGGCACCTTGCCTTGGGATGAGGCTCACATGCGCACGGGCGGTCTCAAATCTTTCCTCTCCGGCGGGCCCACAAAAGCGCATGTTTGGGGGTGCCTGGAACGGAAGCTACCCATAACTTAGCGAGGTCTGCTCCCGTGCTCGGGCTCGAGGTCTCGAGGTGTCGATACCATGAGGGGCCATGCGCAAAAAGGGTGCCTTGCAGATCTCGCAAACTTTCACCGACTGAAGTTTGCTTCCATGAGCAGACGCAGCTCGTTGTCCTGGTTTCGTTGTGAACCCAAACTGTATACAGAGCGTTTTGCAGGATGTTCCGCGAATTCTCGCTGGGCCGCCGCTACCACGGCCAGGAGAGTCGTGCGGGGTCTTCCGTATATTTACAGCTCTATAGGCTCCTGAAGATAGAAGGCGCTTCGGGCCTTGCAGGCGAGAACATTGCGAATCTTTAGGAGAAGCCATCTGCAAGGGCCCAAAGGTTCCGAACGAAACATCAAGCATCGAGAACCCGATACTTAGAACTTGGCAGAATTGGGCAGTGCAAACAATGCTTCACCCTCACTATGAATCCGCCTTGTGCCCAGCCTCGAACAGTCATTGCCAGTCTCATTGCAGGAGTCCTAGGTCCCGGGTCTCAGACTTTCCTCGAGCTTGACGTGAGGACCTCGTTCGGGCAGTTGGGCCAAGCGTCTTCCACGCGCAGTGGCTCAGCCTGCTCTGTATTCCTTCCGACTTTGCAGTTCGCTCCCGTTCACTTCCGTAGCTGGAATCTGGATTAGATGATTAAATAGTGATACAGGGCTCAGCACCGCTGTTGAGCTCTAGGCCCGTTGCCTGCATGAAGCTCCCGAAAAGCCGGCGCTTTTCGAAGCAAAGAACTACAAAGAACGTTGCTGATGAAATCGATCGCGCTTCTTTGAGTCGTGGTGTGATGTCACGACGCACAGCTATGCCTTCCAAGATTGGCTTAGCACTCACTGGAGGGCTTTCGTGTAGCGGTGCGCGAGTAAGGCTTCGGGCCTGGCTTTCTGGTGATTATCTTCAGTTTCTGCGGGTTTGGGGACTTTGACTTTGATGCTCTCACATTGCTGTTTGCTGTTGCAGGTGGGCCACCTACACCTGCGGTGCACTGATTGGCAATGCCGTGCGGCACCCAACTCCAGACAGTTCATCTGCTGCCAACTCTGCTTCTCGGTGGTGGTGTGCTACGGACGCCCTTTTGAGTGGCGGGCCCGCAGCTTGCGACACAAATGGCACAATTGCGGGTCATGACAGATCAAATTTTATTGAGCTTCAGGCGATGGCGCTGGCAGCTCATCTGCATGCGGGACTTGACATCAGCTTTGCAGGCTATGTTTTACCACCTGTACTCCGGCATCGTGTGTGTCACATCGGTCAGGTGTTTGGTATGCTGGTGAAGGCTAGACACTATCATTGTCTACTTTGCTGCTGCTGTGCGGTGTTTGTGGGAAATCGGCATCGGAGCAGGTATATACACAATATGCACATGAAGCGCGGCTAGCAAGTTGAAAGATCAATCCTTCAGCGAGAACATCGTTTGCAGGTCCAACCCTCCTTGACTGCTGAGGTGCTCTTCATGTTTGTCCTTTGGCTCCTCTTCCTTGTGTTGCCTGCCAGCAATCCCATGAACCTTTTCTTGCTGAAGTTTGCCGCCTGCCATGAAGCCACATTACTATGGGCTACAAACTGTGTGTGGCCTGAGCCCACTCTTCACATCTTCCTGTCGCAGATCAAGAAGGAATGTTCAACAACATGGGAAGCTCCTAAACGTCCAAAGACTCTGAGGGGCATTCAGCATGTTGGCTCGCGCAGGTTGAGCTTGCCCCAATTCTGGGAAGCTCAGTGGGCCCTTCGAAATTGGTGGATCCTTTACGATCCTCGGCCGTATGTAAGGGTGGGCAGCTGCAGAGGTTGTTGCACATGCAGGATCTGCATTGCTTGGAAAGCCACTGTGGCAGGGTAGGGCAAGGCTTTTGATCAGAGACGGGTATTCCAGTTCTATGCGTCGCCGCATCCAGCGTCAGGGACCGAGTCACACTTTCGCGAAGATAAGCGATGAGAGGTTTCAAGCGATCGTGGGTAGTCGTTCAGGGTGCGGGGGTAGAGGAGGTCAAGACGATTCGACAGAAGCTGGGAAAATCGCGCAAGGCGCAGGGTTGTTCGCTACAAGCTACGGGTCCGTGTTGGTCCGTTGTCCACCTCGGTCGTGTTGGTGTTCGGTGTACAGGTCTCCGTTTAGCTAGCCGAGCATAAACGTTGATATGGCAATGAACAGTGGCAAAGCTATGTCTGACCAGCTATTGGACCTGTCTTAGTCTCAGACATCGGCTTCAATCGGCCTTGCAGCAGCACGACTTCCTGTTCATGGATGTTCATGGTGTATGTAGTCACGTCTTGTGTAAGCTCTGCCCCATATGGAGACTCCTGCGATCCGGAGAATGAAATCCGAGGGGCTGCTCTACGTCACACGCTGGAGCATCTTCCGGCAACCTGTCGAAGTTCCCTCCGACTATGTTCCGTTGATGGGCTTATGTGTCTGCGTGTGTGTGTGTGTGACTGTGTGTACGTCTACCAGTCAATAAGTTTGATGATGTTTGATGAGTTCGACATGAGACGTCAACATGGATGATGAGCTGATGCGCTGATGCTGTGGCGTGCTTAGTTAACCTTCGTGCGAAGAGACAGTCCTGCCAAGTTGCGAGTGCCACGAAAACGTGTCAACTTCGGAATCTCGCCAGGAGAGCGCTCAAGCCTTCCAGCTCAGGTGGGTCATACCGCAGCGTGTTGTGACCGCAGATGGCTCCGTACTGCGTCGCCGTGCCCGCTGGTCGCATATGCAGAAATTGCTGTCATTCCAAATTCATGTGCTTTGAGTGAAAATCGGATTGGTAGCTGCAGCTAGTACGGCTGCACTGTTGAGTTCAGACCCTCTCGAGAAGTGTGACTATCGGACTAGTGTGCAGGAGCGGATGTTGACGAGCGAAGGTCTGGGATCTCGTCTTCCCAACGCTCACGCTCCTGAACTTCGTACTCGGAGCGACCAGTGCTTCGGCGCAGTTTGCTGTGGGTGACGGGTGGTGCCCGGAGCAACCCAAGACTCGATCCAATGCCTACATCGGAGAGTTATGGTCGCCGATCACCCATATATGCAAAATTTGATGCACGGAATGCTAAGGGCAAGAAATGTATTTTTGTAGGTCGTCGCCCACTCATGCCTGGGCAACGGCGCAATCTACATTGAAGTAAGTCCAACCGGCAGTGTTCATGCATTAGTATTAACGGCAACTTGTTGATGTTTTTGTCGAAGCTGGAAGCACTGCAGAGTCTCCTTGTGCTTCACAGCGAATTTGTCAACCGAGGTGGTATTATCCGGAGTCTGGCCGCTCGCTCAACTGCCTCCTGTATAGCACGGATTTTTCAAAATTTCGTCAACCGAGAGTCGGCACAATGCTTATCGATTAGCTTAACGCGAGACTTTCGAAGGCAAGTATGCCACGCGGTCCATAAGGCAAAGCAAGCCGAAGGACGACAAAACACGAGAAGACTGTTGGTGGCCCAGGTCATTGCGCCCTACCTTCTCATCCACTTCTTCAGGCCAGAGTATTCAATTCTGGTTTTGCATCCGGTCACCCAAAGTCAAGCTGGTGAGTTTGGAGCATGGAAGACACTCAGAGCCTAGGATTGCACACGCCAGCCAAAATCAGCACCCCCAAGCCCATCTTGTGTGCGTTTGATTGAAGCAGGATAGACATCACCTACCTTCCAAGCGACCTTTGTGACCCTTGGCTGCAATCGCAGCCTTGGGTGGCTTGCTGTCAGAGTGTCCAGCACGGTGTCCGGTATCCAGCGCCGAAGAGCGAGCCCGGGCCGCCTTGCAGCTAGAGCGTGGAGCCTGGATCGAGGATTGGGATTGGTCTTTCCAACCCTTCGTGTCGTTGGTGATGCACTCTCAAAGGCTCGACTTGCTTTGGGCGAACCCAGGGCGGGGCTCAATGCTGTGAAAGGCAGGACTTGGGCCGAAGTTTCAGATCACCGCCAACTACATTACATCGAAGTACTGTTAACTTCTAACATATAACATATAACGGTGATCCGCATTCAAGATGGAGCAGCTAAGTCTTCGAGAGCAACTTCGCCGGGTTGATGACTGGGGAATCTTGGAGGCGGCTCAACCCCATCCTCCTCGCCACCGTTGCGGAGCTTGCCAAGAAGCCCTCTCAGGAACTCTTCGCTGTTTTCGGAGTCAGCTGGTTTTGTAGTGTTCAGTTGAGGCTGCAGGACAGGCAAAAGCTGTCATCGTGTTTCCAGTCCCAAAGCGCTCTGAAATGTGCTCGGGCTGTCTTAAGCTGTGCATCGCGTGCAGAACAGCAGGAGCCGCCAGCTGCACCAGCCCAGCTGAACGCAACAGTCGAGGCCTGGACCTGCTGGAAGGGCCGGAAGGAATGAAAAAAGGAGGCCTTGCCAAAGGCCTGACCTTGCTTGAAGTCTACAGAGGCTCTTGTGGTGCCGATGGCATATGGCTTCTGCCGGCTTCGCTAGTGCCGACCAATCCAGAAGCCAAGAAACCCGGCCACGCACCAGAAGGGCTTGAGTTCTTGCTACCTGCTCCTAGGACACAGAAGAGTCTCCAACCTGCACTTAGTTCTGCTTGCGTCTTTCTATTGGTTTCTACATGGGCTGCAACTGGACCTGGAAGGCAAATAACAGGATGGCGTCCAACTTACTCCCATGATCGTGACTTCCTGAACCTTGATCTACGAACCCAATTCCTATGTCTTGCATAACTATTTCAGGAGGAGCAGGAGATGGGCTACATGGAGACGGCTGTCCAAGGTGGCCACCCGTTGCGAGAAGGCTCTTGGGGGAAGTCCATTAGTCAGCAGTGCTGTTTGCCAGCTCAGAGCTTTCAAGGTGTGCCTTGCGATTCTTGCGACATGCTGCTTCGGCATAGATAGTATAGAGACGAGAGCATTGACAGAGCTCTTCGTTCGAATCTCCAGGCTTGATTGGGCGATGCCGTTTTTGCTTTTACCGAATGAACATCTTGGAGCTCGCATGCTGCGTTGCGAGATGTTGCGAGTTGCATTTGCTTATCGTTCTTGTCGCAGTGGAGGCTGGCAAAAGGGCACGTGTTGGCTCGGCCAGGTTTGCCAATGCCCACGCAGTGCCCGCCAACCCGGGCGCGCACAGCGTGGCATCCTTAGATGCGGACATGAGCTCACACGCAGATATTACTAGTGCCTCTGAGATATACGTTTGATGAGTCGGGTCATGGGTGGCAGTCATAAGTCGGCTGGGCAGTTGTCAGTCTTCAGCGGCCGCACCCAACACCTCAGCGGTGACTCCGATCCTAGCGGCACACCAGACAAGGGGTCTCAGTCCCAAGGCCCATACCTGAGCCTTATCTCTCCTTCAAGTGTCCTCAGAGGCCCGGCCCGCAGAGCCTTCGCGCACGGCAGCGCTGGCAATTGGCTTTGATCCTGGCAAGGAATCCGTCACTTGGTTTCAGTCACGACAGTCTCGAGATGACGGAGGGGGAACCGAAATTGCAGGGATACCCCGGGACCTCGTCCACCCCAGATTATTGCACATCCTGCAAGGTTTGAGGGCAGGCCTTTTGATGTCGGGTCGGGTCGTGTCTTCGAAACAAGTCAGGAGCCTGATATAGCATAGCTCCCTGCTCCTTACCTCCATGGACCGAAGGCAGGCGGACAACCACGCACGAATGCAGGAAAAACACCCACCTGCCCGCGCGTCCGCCCGCCGCCCCACCCATGCGGACATCCACGTGCACGTACACACACACACACACACAAACACAAACACCCTGTATATGCATGGCTGAGCTAGAGGCTGCAAGCTCAATGAGACTCCATCACTGTCTCGCATTCATGATGAGGAATGCACATGCCTGGAATGCCTAGCCTAGGTCTCTTCGTCGGCTCCGAAAGGCGCAATTAAGAGCCGGAGTGGGAAATTGCTTTACTCGCACCTTCAAGACTCTGAGTATAGACTGAACCATGTGTGCACAGGGCACTGGCCGGGCCGACAGTGCTCCAGGCTGCCTGCAACGGCCAGACCAAGAGGACCAAGGGTTTGGAGTTGGGATAGGTGATTTCGGATTGCGGGGATGAGTCGCAGCACTTTTCCCACGTCTCAGCACTTCCGTTCTGCCCGAATAAGAAAAGCATCAGGCAGACCCCAATGCGCATTCACGGGACCCAAGTCCTCAGGGTTGAAGTCTGAATGGTTAATTACACTGACTGGCACGAAGAAATTGGAGTTTGCTTTCCCTGAACATCCCTGAACCTAAGCCGAGCCTTAAGCCAACAGGCTTCCAAGCCGGTGCGGTTATACATCAAGAACAACCAAAGGTTCTTAGGAGATCCAACATCTTCAGCGAAGGAACCGCCAGAGCCACGGCAGCCACTGATGCCTTTGCAGCTCCCTGGTCTCCCCCCACGCCGGCTAGAGCCGGGGCCCTAGACAGCTTTGCCGGCAGATTGATTCCGGTTGTATGAATATCCACACTGGGTTTGCCTTCGGGCTTGTCTTGACATGCTGTTTTCATCTTGGATTTCGACTGGAGGTATAGTACTACTTAGGGCATTCAACTGACATGCTCATGGGATTCGAAGCGGTCGAGACCCGGTAGCCATGCCATGTGAAGACAAACCGGCGAAGACTTGACAGCCGGATTTGGGGAGCAGGTTTCTGTCATGAACTACTGGAGATTCATGCTTGAGGAATAATGACGTTTTCTGGTGTTTTGCCAGCAAGTCAAAAGCAGCATCGTAATGAGTACAGACTTGCAACGCCGTGATTCGCTGGCTTACATTGCCTTGCGTCTTAATTACGGCTTCCGCATGCATGCACCAGAGTGGAGCCCATTCGTAGCACCTCTTTGGGCCACCAAGCCTTGCATTGGGACTCCCAGGAGCAGCAACACCTTCTGGAGCCCGCTGAATTCCTGGACACGTGCCCCAGCGGGCAGTGTAGCTCCTCTTTGAAGTAGAGTTCAGAACGTCTACAGCCCGATGCAGATGACTACACGGGGCCATTTGCGGTTCGAACATGTTGGAACTTGGGATTGCATTTCTTCAGTTCGTAGAGCAGTCATCGTTGTGGTCGTGGCGTGACGGCGACGGCTCCGGTGGCGGTGGTGGTGGGAAGGTGGGAGTGGCATGCCGGTGACACAGGGGTGACCCGCATAGTAGCCACGTCTATGTCTTGACGCGAGGTAGCTTCAGTCTTGTGACTCCTTGAGGCGCGAGGACCGCCATGCTGAGCGATATCGGCGGACCGTCCCCAGGGCGCTTGCCCGTACGAGAAGTTAGTGAGGCTTGAGCCAAAAGGCGCCTGCACGGCGACTAGGCAACTCCCGCGCCTCGAATTGGATCGCAGTCTGTTTCTTGGAGCTGGAAGACCGGAGCTCGGAAGTTTCCGTATATCAGGCATTGCCAAGCATCATTACCCACCGCGGACTCTTATCTAGTTATGTATCTCGCTGCATTGCAGTCCTGACCCCCACAGACTTTCGATGCTGAACGGCAGAGACCGGAGACCTTTGGTCACAGGGTTCCTGTTGCAATGCCACCTGAAGCCATGGGAGCACCTTCCGCCGCAGAGCACGCTAGCCGATCGGCTCTGGGGCCTTAGACTTCGGGGCCGTTCAGATTGCTGATAGGTCATTGCAGGGTGCACAGATTTTCCTTACGCCAGAAGTTCATGTCTGGCAGCGTTGTGCGGTTCATCGTGTACTTGAAAGCAGCATTGCAAAAAGCGTGCAGTCTACTATGTGAGTAGAGTAGAGGTGGATGCGTGCGTCGCTCGAGGCTTGGAAGCCTTCCTTGACCTTGCCCGCAGCGGTGCACTGGCCCAGCTTTTTTCGGTTTCAGGCGTTTGACAGGCGGTTTTGAGGCTGAGACCTTGTGACCTGAGACCCTTCTGCAACATCCCAGCAGCCTAAGGCAGAGGTGCCTTCGACAAAGCGGCGAGCGCAAGCTTCAAGAAGCTGGCAAGCCAGAGGTGGGCCGGGCCCGGAGAACGTTGCAAGCAGTCAGAGGAGAGGCTGACAGGAGCTTGGTAGTTGTTTGAAGCATCGGTGCTTTCGGTGTTCACGCCCTAGGGCATGAAGGCTATTCACGCATCTCAGTCTTGCCACAGACACACACGCACTCTCTCTCCCTCTCTCTTGCCGGACGACCTTGGACCAAGTGAGCTTCGACCTCGCAAAAAGCAAGCAGATAGCGACCGGCACGTAGAAGGCATGGCGGCATTCGAACAAAGTGGCCAAGTCATCCTCGGGATGAAATCCACCGCCCCGAAGGACTTCGAAGCATGGAACAACTTGGCCAAAGTGCCCGAGACCTACGACCCCCCGCAAAGGGCACAGCATTGGTTCAAGAAGTTCATCTACTGTGCCGGCAAGTCCTCGCTTTGCTGTTTAGTGCCACCAGCCAGGATGCTTTTGGTCCCCTGTTGTCAGAATCAGTTCGCGGACATCACGGCCTCAGACGACTGGGTGGAACAGATGCTCCGTGTGCCGAGTCACAAGAACTGTCCCGAGCACCTCAAAGGCAGGGCTGGCGCAAATGACAAGCGTAGGGTCTAGACTCTATAGATCCCAGCGGAAATGTTCTCCTGCTCAGGAGCTTGGTGGCTGCAGGAGAACGTAGCCGGAGAAGGCGTGTTGACGTTTCACGATGCGGACTGGCAGAGCGAGTCAGTCGGATTGAAGCTTGGCAGCACTTCAGATGCGACCAGTAGGCAAGCTGGAGCCTATACATGCACACGCGCCTGAGAATCTGAGGAAGATTTCCAAGTATAACTGGACCATCGATGCGTGGAATCTTTGGGGCGTGATTTTGACATGTAATGGGTATTGGACAGGTGGAGGACACTTGTTTGAGACCTCGCCGGACGGCAAGTGGATTCACATCACTTTCGGCGAGTCAAAAGCTTCCCACTGGATCTACGTGATCCAGCCAGGCGATGTATTCAAAAAACCAGATGGAACCGTTCTAGAGGTGACCCCAGGTGAAGACATGATGCGAGTCTCTTTTGATTCCTTGAACACCACGGGCGAGATCGCCTTTCAGTACTTGGTGCGGCGAGTTGCTTATCTTGATGAAAACGGCAAGCTCGTCAAAACACCAAATTACGACAAGCTCATGAAGGTGGCAAATTCTAGTAGTCAGTTGTGCTGCTTTGACTGTGGTGATGGGAAGATCGATGCAATCCAGCGAACTCAGAATTTCAGAATCGCTTCTCCGCCGGCACAAGTTACCATGAGCGAGGGTGAGCGTGTGTGAAGACCTTGCCAGAACCCGGCGAGAAAGCATGGGAGATCTGCCTAATAGTTTTCAATGACTCGGCACAACGGTTACAGCGTTTATCGAGTAGGAAATCTTGGATGTTAAATTCACTCTCCGAGCCACGACAGCAGATTCGAGTCGACAAGCTTCGCGTTGAGAGCAAGATCATAAGGAGTCTGCAGAAACTGTTTCCGAAAGCCCACAGTGACTTTTTGTGGTTGCTCAAGTTTCCGACTCTGCTTGGGGCTTCCTGTGAAAACCAGTGCCCTCCACGCTCGCGAGAGTTTTTGCCTTGCACATGCCCCGGATATCCGGGCGACCAGAGCCTTGCCTTGAGCTGAATCCGAAAAGGGAGGATACTTGCAGGCTCTCGGCTCATCCCGACGAAGCCTTTCCAAAGAGCGTCAGACAAGTACGCTGAAAAAGTGCAGGTGGACAGTGGCGATGTCGCTCTTGGGATCGGACCGGGCGTGACTTGATATTCGTGCGATCTTCCTAGCGAAACTTGACCTGAAATCCACAAGCACAGGACTGGGAGGGCTTGTGGCTGCCGTTCAGCCCACCAATGATCGCGATGCAGGCCTCGCTGGAATCTTCACGGGAGCAGGTTCAATATTCAGGCGTTGCAGTGAGTTGCGTTCTTGTGTCGGCTTCGAGCCCCGACGTTCTCTTGAGTCAATGTGATGTGCTACTCCTTTCCTCGGACACTACTTGGTGAATGCATGGAAACAGGAGGCTCCAGCCAGTGGGGATTGCACGAGGTCATCACAGAATCACTGTAACTGACCCCCATGTCCGAAGCCTGGAATCCGGGAGTCGAAGGCTTGCACCCGTCAAAGCCATTGGCAGCGTTCTTTGGCGCTTTTCGGCTCGGTGTCTTCCTCCCTGTCACCAGATACTGAGCTGCAATCAAACTGTCTGCTGTCCGGAGGTCCACTGTAAGAAGTTGATGTAAGTGTACGAGGGCTAGTGGATCGCGTGAGGCCGCTGGCAATACTACTTTAGAATCTGCACAAACCCGACTCCTGTCCCGGCTTACAAGCAAATGCAATACAAGACCATCGGTTCCCTGGCCGTTCACACAGCTCAGGTGCTGTACAGCGCTGCCTTAAGTGCCTGCGATAAGGGCCAGCAGTGGCGCTCGGGTTTGCAAGTGCTGGCGACTCTGCGGCAAGAGCGTGGGGAAGTGGACACGGCACTCTACAACGGAGCGATTAGCATGTGCGCGAAAGCACAGCAATGGCAGCATTCGCTGGCACTCTTTCAGGACCTACACGAGGACCGGCTTCAACCTGACCTGATCACACACAACTCTCTGGTGAGTGCATTTGAGAAGGGAGGCGAGTGGCAGAGAGCTTTGGCCGCTTTCGAAGAAACCTCAAGCCTTGGCCCCAGCATCGTGACCTACAGCGGCTGCATCAGTGCTTGCGCTCGAGGGAGTCAGTGGCAGATCGCCCTTGTCCTCTTTAAAGAGGCGAAGGAGCAGAGTGCAGGGGTGGATGTCATCCTTTGCAGTGCGGCCATCACTGCATGCCGGGGCGACGAATGGCCCAGAGCCTTGCAGTTGCTCACAGACTTCGAAGACACCTCCCGAGCAAACCTGGTGGCTTACAGCGCGGCTGTAAGTGCCTGTGCACCAGGGGGGCACTGGCAGCAAGCTCTGCAGCTGCTTGTTCTGGCGCAAACGCGTGCTGCTAGCTGAGACCGTCAAATCAGTTTTGCCTTTTTGCAGTACGGCTTTGGCAGGCCCCAAGCAGTGCAATTAAATTACGTCTTAGGTGCTATCAGGGCCGACACGGCCATTTACACCTCGCTCATCGCAGCCTGTGCTGGCGCATCAAGCTGGCAACAAGCCTTTTTCGTCCTGCGGCAGCTTCGCTCTGGCATGCTGAAGGCCCTGCCTGCGAATCATGGATTGCCCATCAGATGTCCCAACATAATTCCGACTGGTTGCTGTCTTCGGTGCTAGCAGCTGCTATCACTGAATTGACAGGCGAATCAGATCACCTATAATGCGGTCCTCAGCGCTTGCGAGAATGCGGAGGAGTGGCAGCATGCCCTCGAGGCCGACGGGCTGCAAGCAGCAATATTGTGTTCATGATTCGGTCATGGCAGATGACACGCACACGCACACACACACACACACATACAGTTACATAATGTTACATACATACATATCTATATGAATCTACATATGAAAAATTCATAGACATAGCATATATTCAATATATTCATTAATATATCTACATATATATACATATGTTTATAATTTGGTCGGAGTGGGAAGCAACCCTCAGCCGAAATTGATTTGACTAGGGGATTGCGCTGTAGTTTTCACAAGCATTTGATGACAGAGGTCGCATAATTTTGTGGGGGAGAAGCTTATACCGCTGTACAGGACTTGTTGGCACCAAGCATGCACCCTATTCTGCGCTGCGCCTCCGAGCAGTTCTGAAGGTCCTGGCCTCTCTTCGGCAGGAGTCGATTGAGGCGACACCGGCTGCACAGCCCGTGGAGTCCCAACTCTGCTAATGTCCACTGTCGGGAGGCTGACGTCGCCAGCTTCAGCTCAGCAGTCGGAGTTTGCGGCCGATGCTGCTCGACTCTTCGACCTTGTGTAAGATATAAAGACTACGACCTTGCCAGCGGGAGGCAGTGCGGCATGGTGCTATGGAGTTGTTTCGCATGCCGCCTCGAGCCCTCGAGTGTAGGGATAGTGTGGGCTGTGGGGCCTGAGGCTGGCACTGGCAACAGTCCTTGCACCTCCTATCCGCGGCCCTGCAGAACAGCGTGCAGGTGCCGATTGTTTTGGAGGAGTCTAGAGAGGGCTAGGAGAGCGTTACTCAGGCTGACAACTGCACAGAGCTAATCCGGCACAAGACCCAAGCGCATCCCAGCCAAAGCATGTGCAGGCCATCGCAAACCTCACTGGTTCATTGCTTTGCACCCAAACTCCCAAGGCAACGGTTTGTTCTCACATTCCGTATAACCGATTCCGACAGGAAGATTTTGAATAATGGAATGCGCAGGATCGGGTAGCTGCATGCTTGCATGCTTGTACGTTCTCCTGTCATCGCATTCGGCTATTGCGTGACGTAGGCCAGGTCTTTTCGGCGGAGTGTCGTTCTCTCGTCTAACAGTGACCGGCATGCTGTCGTGCATAAACGCTCGGACTCCGCGGCACTTGCAGCCCTGAATGCTTCAGTTTAACCTGGACAAGCAAGCCCAGCAGAAGAAGAAAGCTGTAATTGTACACGGCGCCTGACGGATGTCCGATGTGAAATCAAAAGCTGCAATCTGCCTTCAATCCAACTTTGGTGAGTGCAGCGTCGGCTTGGCCTGGAGAAGGTTACAGAATTTGTTGCTGCCACGTAGACTACATCATGCATAGGAAGTCAGGAGCTTCACGATGAGCTCAGGGGAGGGAGGCGGACGGTCTTGCGACTGCTGAACGCAGGCAAACGTCATCCTGTACAGCACTGCGATATCTGCATGCGAGAAGGGCAACCAGACCCTTGGCCGCGTGCGTCAGTCTGCCTTCAGTGTGCTTTGGATGAGGGTCGTCCTTCAACCAAAGACGGCTTACTCGACAGTATGTATCAGATGAAATTAACACCTAGGAACCGTTCCGTGTATAGTTGGTAATGTTTGGTGTCGTAGCCTGGCTTGGCGCTTGAAGCGTCGGAGCTTCGAGTATGCATGGATTGCATGCTAGGCGCGCTAGGCTGACCCTTGTCCGTGTTTTTGCGCAGGTGGGGAGTGGCTCTCCACTTGCTGGACCAGGCAAGAGTTCCGCAGTGCCGGAGCACTGTGGACGACATCAGCTAACGGCAACATGACATGCCACAGATGCTTCCAAGTCCAGAGTTGCTGCGGTGTTGGTGGGTTGCAAGTGCATGACTCTACAGGTCTTGCAGTCATTGTGATAGTGTGGCTTTCCGAAGACGGGCAGTGAAGCCCTGCCAGCTGGCATGATGTATTTGTGCTTAACTGAGACAGCAAAGACTGAGATTGACGTACGACATCGCTGCAAGCACATGCAGCGAATTCGCAAGACCATCGCGGCAGAGCCAGCATGAAGTTTGAAGTAAAGGAGAAGCATCGTCGACATGTTCCACCTTCGAGGTTGCTCAAGTAGCAACTGTCTCCCATACAGGACTTCTTGCCTTAGGGCGACTGACGGGCCGGGCTTGAACTCCCAGAAGCTTTCACTTCGCTCCATGATCGCCCAGAATCTGGCAGGCACAACGGGTGGCCCTGCGCGTCGACGTCGTGGCCTCCAGCGCAGCCATCAGCGCTTGCGAGTCTTTCGGCTCGATGGAGTTTGGGAATTGAGAGGTTACTCGAGCGTATTTGCTCTCCCGCTCTCTCTCTTTGTCTCTGTCTCGTTCTGTTTCCTTGCACCACGCGCATCGTTTTAAACTCTGCCTTTCCCCAGACGTCTTCCTCTCGAATCCTCAGGAGCCTCTGTTTACTCCGCCTGTGAACCAGGAAGGCGGGCCAGTGGCAACGATCTACGTTTCTCTTGGAAGGGCTTGGTCCCAATGTGGCTTGACCAACATAGTCGGGCTGGGACGAGCACAGGATGTTTTGGCAGGGCAAGTATCTTGGGGAAACGAGAAGCCCTGAAACCTACATTAGTTGTACATTCGCTGAACTAGAGCATCAGTGTGGGCAAGGAGGCTGAGAGACAGGACATGATGGGACCCCCGACTCAATACACCAAAAGCTCTGCGACTATGGATCCTCGCCTGGCATGTCCGAGTTGTGAGAGCATAAACCCTAAAGCTGGCGTTATGAGACTCGTGTGTGGATCCGTGCCTGCCCTGTGCGAGTGTGCGTGTCGACAGCAAATCCCACTCGCCAGCACGAGCGCCTAAAAGTGTTTGGGGTCTTCTGCATCTCCCCTTGCACAGATCTAAGAAAACGGATTCCGTTTCAGTGCCCGGCACGAGCTCAGGATCTGACCAGCCGTAGGCTTGCACATTCCCTTCGGCACGCTTGTGAAGCTATAGCCGACCAACAGATTCTTCTTCCCAGAGACAGCGAAAATCCGCAGTCTTGCAGTCGCTGGTTGAAGCCCTGCCTTGGGTCACGGGATGTTCCAGGGTACAGATCAGAATAGTGCAGAGTTCTTGAACGCAGGTTGTGGCACACTCAGCAGCAGCCAGTGCTTGCGCCAGAGAGGCGCGCTGGAGACATGCCTTGGTGCTGCTCGAGGCGAGAGACATTGGTCCGGTCCGGTGATTTTGGGTGGCTTGCGGCTTACCCAAACCATCCCGATCCCTGACAAGTCTGGGCTTGAGATTCATTTTCGGTTCGCCCTGAGGCGTCCGGAACGTGTTGTGGAAGAAGGGAAGGAAAAACTATGCTCTTGAATAAGAGCACTTTGCCGTCATTCCGTCTGGCTAACCTTACCAGCCTTACCCCTGCTTCCAAGCAAACGTAAAGACAAGCTACGGCGTGCAGGGGGTTTGAAGCTATGTTGCTCTCATTCCGTTGCACAGACGTTGCCAGGAACTAGAGGGGCAAAGCGGGGCCGGCACAGAGGCCAGAGTCCGAGAGTACTTGCCGTGTGATGTTGGGATGCATTTGATTGCATCTGCTGCGGGCTCCGGCTCGGGAGAACAAGGTGTGAGAAGACTCGTCGTAGTTCTCTTTCCTGGATTGACAGCGGCCAAAGCTTTTCAGGTTTGTTTTCACAAGCTTTGCAAGCAATAGGCTATGTTAGGGCAGCGGCTTTCGAGGCTTGCCACAACCTGGCCCCAGACGTGTTGTCTCGCACCGGCCACATGCCGGTCGTTAGCCGAGTCGAAGACTGTTTGCAAGCTCCACGCACGGCAACACCCACAGAAATATGAAAATCATCGACAAGCAATCCGAAACGAAAGCACCTGTACACCTGGCACACACATGTTCCAAGAGCAGTCACCGTCAAAATGACTCGGTCTCAAATCCGGAAGCCATGCGGGAAGCAGCCGGTGGGCCCGTTGGGGTCGTCTCCTTCGGTTCAATGCCGCTCGGAGGCTCAAGGGCACAATGTGCTCAACGGACGAAATCCCAAGCCATGCCCACATCATCGGGCCTGGTCGGAGCATCGTAGAAGCCAAGGACGACGGACAGAGTCGGCACACATGCAAGGAATTGCTGAAGTCTTTCAAACTGACTTCTATGCAGTGCTGTAAGACGAACGAAGCTCCACGAAATATTGGTTTGGCTTGGACAGACGAACCGGCGCAATGCTGCGAGTGTCCCCAGAAACACAAGGGATGCACGGCCGGCCCTTCCCAAAAGTCAAGCCCGAAACTTTTAACGTGTAGAATTGAATGGCACGCAACTGCCTTTTGCCACTTGTCACACTGCACTCGGTAAAATGCGCCCGAGCAGAAAACTGGCTCAGCCAGCCCCACGCCCCGCAGCCGAGAATCTTCCGTTGGTTTGGCATAAATTCTGGCGAGGTGACCTATACCGTGGCGATACAAGCAGTGGCAAAGGCAGGCGCGAGGTTGTCGGAGTGGGCCTGGGGTGCATGACTTGCTTGAAGCTCTTCTTTAGTATTTTCGTTGTTGTCTCTTTGACAACTCTACAGGCTTCACAAACTGGAAACTGACCTTCCTAAACGTATTGGTTATTCAGTTGTCCAGTCCAGCGGTACAAGGAGCCAGAAATCTAGGCCCATGCAACGCTCCCCTCCCTTCTTTGTGGACCAGACAGGAAGCATGTGGGGGTCGGGAGTGCTTCCCAACATGAGTGCAAGCCGCAACGTCTGAGGAAGAGCTCCCGATGGGCAACCAGGCACTGGCCAGGTGTTCTACTGGTAAAACGAGGCTCAGAAGGGGATGTTGTCATCACTGCCAAGATCTTCACGGCCGCCAGTCGATGTGTATTCGACGGACTCCGGAAGCCTTTCCCTGTGAGGGGAACTGCCTCACGTGGCCTTTGTGACCGGGGCGAACGAAGTTCCGCGACGTGCAGCTGACACGGGCAGCCCTGGATGCGACGAACTCCGCAGAGTATGCGACATGCGGGGCCCGGTAGCAGATGCACAGCAGCTCATCGGAAGCTCGGTTCTAGAGTCTAGAGTTCCTAAAGGCTTTCCAGAGCATGCTGCGGCCTTAAACAATTCTGCTTTTCGCGAGGAATGTTGCGCGGATGCTTGGCCAGGCAGAGTGAGACTTGGCGTTGGCACTTCTGAGAAAGGCTTTCGCGGGTATGTAGTGTCAGACATTCAGAAGTGTTGCGCGCGAAGTTTGGAGGGGATTCTGCCAGGAGCCGCAATGCTTTCCGCAGAACATCCGAGCTTCTGGAGATCCAGCCAGCACGCCTGATCCCCCTGATCACCCCAATCCTGCGCGGCCGGCTCCCGTCCTGGCAGTTGGATGCATGCGACGGGCGACGGGAAGAAAAGCCCGCATTCGAATTCCGGGACGTGCAGTGAACTTTGAGGTTTTAGCACGGGATTCCAGATGTTACAAAGCTCGTCTGCATAAATATGTTGTTTCCAAAGCAGTGTGGCAACGCATTGGGGTTCTTGCCTTGGGGTTCCTTGGTGTGATCTCGAAATCCAACTTCGGAATCTGGCGAAATGCAAAATCGTTCCAGTCACCACAGTTAGTGCTTTGCGTGTTTTCGGGTGCGCATCATTTCCTGCTGCGACTCGCGTTCCCACCCCGCGATGATGTGCAGTCCGTGCTGTGGGTTTCCAGTCGTGCTCCCGCCACAATCCTACAACCCTTAGGTCGACGGCTTTCAATTGCACAAGTATTCTGTGGTGATGGGTCTTGGGGGTGATTCCTGGTTTGTTGGTGACGGGTTTTGCTCACTTGCAATCGTGCTCTTCGCTATCGTGCTCTTCGCTTGAAGTTTCCGTGTCTGTTCGCGCCTGTTTCTCGGCAGTCGTGTCGATCAGCGTCTTAGTTTTTCTTTCGTTCGAGTAGTGACGCTCATCTGCGCTGAGGTGAAGGTTTTTTTGTGCGGCTTTGTCGGTGTCTCAGAGCTCTGCGTCGCAACCATCTTCCATGCCAGGTTCAGCTTCCGATGGAATTCCATCTTTCGCCAGGCTCCGCTGGACGCCATTGGGCAGTCGGTTCGGATTGAGAAAGAAATTTCGAGGTGGGATGAAACGGATAAAGATTGGCGGTTTGACCTTCCGATCAGACCAGAGTGCAGCTTGAAGCGGAAATAATTAATTAACTACAAGACACAGAGTGGAAAGTTCAGAGCTTTTGAGGCCTTCGGTCTGTTGCTCGAGAATTGCACGGCTTGGCTATTCGGGTAACTTCCTCTCAGCATGCAACTTCCAATTGCCACTTGCGCCAACTTCTTCCAGCATCAACGCATGATGTGCGTGACCTTGTTCCTATTGCCACGCCACCGTTGCCCTGTTGCCGCCACTGGGTCGAAGTCCTCGGACAGCCGAGAAGACCTCGAATTTGGGAATCAGGCCGTGGACCCCAAAGTGGGTGATGGCTGCAACCACTTCTGCCAGTGCCCATGGGCTAGCTGAAGCAATTCAAAACCAAGCGCAACACACGAATTGGCATGTGGCTATAGGGCTTCTGGTAAGGGCACCTCCCGACCAGAAGCTCCACCACGCAGCCTCTTGAATATGCGGGGTGTGGGCACGGATCTCATACAGCGCAGGAATACGCTTGCTCATTTCTATATGTATGTATGGATAGATAGATAGATAGAATAGTTAGATAGGTAGATAGGTAGATAGGTATAGATAGGTAGATAGGTAGATAGGTAGATAGATGGAGAGAGAGAGAGAGAGACAAAAAACAATGACATAGATACAGATAAATGTGTATATATATATATATGTGTGTGTGTGTGTGCGTATGGTTATGAGTTGTATTTTCAAGGTGTTGTTATGACAATGGTGATTATTAAACTTTGACTAGGTGTAGTCACTTAGCAGCCTCGGCATAACGACAGGGAAAAAGAAGACTAGCAGACAGACCAGCATCTTGTTCTTTGTGCCGCAGGGTGGGGTTGGCTGCAGGGGTTAAGTCTCCTGGGCCCAGGAGTACATGCCGACCATGAAGGCTTGTGCACAGGCTGCAAAGTGGCAGCAGTCGCTGGGAATCATGGAATGGATTCCTGTTCAGGAAACATCAATCTGCAATGCAGCCATGAATGCCTGTGCTCGGGGCCATCAATGGACTCGCGCCGTGCAATTACTGAGCAGTTTTCCCAGCTCCCTGCAGCCGGACGTGGTAACCTTCAACTCCTGCATCCATGCGTGCAGCTTGGGCATGTTTGCGACGACCCGCCTTCATTTTTTGAACTGCTGAAGAAACGGTTTGGAATGCTTCACTTGGGACCGAAGCACGAAGGTGAGAAGGGCAGTCAATGGCAAGCTGCTTGCAGTCTCTTCGAAACTCTCCAATTTCAGAGCTACCAGCCAACTGTGGCTCTCCCGCACCCCTTTGAGGATGATTAGTCTAGCTGTAGAGCATGGCAATCTAGAGTCACGATGGTCTTGAAATCTGTGTAGACTTCAATCGCTTGGGATATTCACCTTGTTCTTGAGGTTGTTACCTACAGCTCCTTGGTGAGTGCATGCGCGGCTGGAGAACAGTGGCAGCAGGCGCTAGAGCTGTTCCGGGACTGTCAGGCTCTTGCGCTCCAGGCCAATGTGATCCTTTACAGTGCTGCGGTGTCACGGCCAGATTTGGAACGTTTTTGCTCCAGCTTTTGCAGGTTCGGTCGGGTCTCCCTTTCCAGCCCGACAGGTGAGTGCATGCGAGAAAGGAGCTCAGTGGCAGCAGGCTCTTGGGATACGTTCAGAGGCAAGCCGGCGAGGCCTGAAGTTGGATGTGATCATTGGCAGCGCCGCTGAAGCTTGGTCTCCCTCGAGCATCGGTGTTCCTTGTTTCGGGACAAACACCAGCGGGTTGTGTGAGACATGAGCTGGCACGACAAACATGGTAATCCTTTGCAGGTGAGTGCCTGCGAGAAGGCGGGGGAGTGGCAGTACGCTCGGCTGCTGCTGCTGGAGCTCCGGGAAGCATCCACCGCTAACCGCGTTACTTACAATGCGGTACTTAGTGCATGTGAGAAAGGTGAGCAGTGGCAGATGATCTTGGCCATTTTGGAAGAGATGGTCCAACTGACGATATTGCCAGATGCCTTCTCGTACGGCGCCAGCATCAGCGGATGCGGAAGGTGCGAGCAGTGGCAGGTGGCTGTGGATCTGTTGCGGGGCGCGCACCGCATGAAGTCACTTAATGTGATAGCTTACAGTGCCGCTGTCAGCGCGTGTGAGAAGGCAAAGGAGTGGCAGCAGGCTTTGGCACTGTTTGAGGAAGCCCGGGCACAGTCGATAGAAGCTGACGTGGTTTTGCTCAGTGCTGCAATCAGCGCTTGTGAAAAAGGGGAGAAGTGGTGGCTGGCCCTGGAGTTGTTCGACTCCTCCCAGGCCAACCTGATCACATATAGTGCTGCGATCAGCGCCTGTGAGAAGGGGGGTCAGTGGCAAAAGGTGCTGCAGTTGCTGTCGCAGATGCCAGGGGCAGTGTCCTGTCTTTTCTACCAAATTTGACACATGTTGCCGAAGGTCATGTGCTTAAAGTAGGGACGGCAACCAGTCCTGGTGTTCGCTTGCTCATCCCACACAGCAGACACTGCGATGGCCTGAAGTTGACACGAGATTCTGAGTCTCTGCATCTAGCACTGTCCAAATAAGTTCTCGTTCCTCAGCCTCGGCAGCAAGCCGAGGAAATCCGTGCAAACACCATCACTTACAATGCAGCCATTAGCTCCTGCAGAGAGGAGGGGCAGTGGCAGAGGGCATTCCTGCTCTTGGAGGACCAAGAGTGAGCCAACTTCAACAGCGGCACTTGAACAATAAGTTTAAGGGCTTGAAATCGAAACGGGTATACTATACGTGGTACCAAGCATTACCAGGCAACCCCTTCAGGAGGCTCGGATGCAAAATTCATCAAGCTTCCCGGCCAAACCTCGAGGAGCTGAAGTTGCAGCAGTTGGAATTTGACCTCGTCAGCTGCTACGCTGTCCTGGCCGTTTGCCAGGCAGCCGCGGCCTGGGCCGCAGCCCTGCACCGGAGACTGCACAAAAGACTCCGCGAAGCCTTCCGAAGCCATGTGCAAGCCCAAGGCAGCTTCTGGCAATCTTGCAGAGAGCCACTTTGGGGCCCGGCGACTTCGTTTGCATCGCCTCGGCCTTCCAAGCCTGCGCCACTTGTCTGCACATGGACCCTTGGCCAGGGCCACGGCGATGGCGCATGATGCGCATGCATCTCTTTTCGGCCCATTCAGGTTGCTGCCACGCGAGTCTCTGAGTCCATTGTCTTTGCATCCCGCCTGGAGGCGCAGGGGCTCAGAGCTCTGGCTGTGAGCTGGGGAAAAAGCGGCACCGAGATATCACCACGGGTCGACAGGAGTCCGTCTTGACCCAAACCAGATGGTATTTAGATTTGGTGTTAGGCCTCATCTTGTGGGCTGGAGGTGGAGGCAATGTGTCGTTGGCGAAAGGGTGTAGTTGTTGCTACCGCGGATGCTTAGGGTTTTGGAGCAGAAGTTTAGAGCTCCTGCGAGAAGCTTGACAGACACATTGTGGAGTGGTGCCCTGGCGGTGGGCTGCCATGCAAGTGGTGGCGTGTGGCACTGGAAGTTTTCATGGTGTGAGTGAGAGTCAATCTAGCTTGCAAGCGCCTGAACGCTACACGTGATGGAGGGCAGGTTGTCATACGCGTGCTAGTGTAGTAGTATCGTAATCGTACCCTTTGCGATTCTGCAAACCTGTAGCGACAAGTGCGATGCAGGAGCAGAGAGATTCAGATCATGATCACGATGAGGATAGGATGAAGAAGAAGAAGAAGAAGCAGAATAGAGCCCCTCCCCGACCGCTCGCGCATGGTTTGGCGGACTCCTTGCCTAGCGGCCACGCAGACGCCGAAGACGTGGACGGAAGCTCGGATGAGAAAATGATGGGCATGGGCCATTAGAGTCAAGAATGACATTCGTACAGTGCACGGCCATACTTCTAAGGTCATATGAAGCACAGATGAATGACATGTATCCAGGGTTTCGCATGAGTGTCTTATAATGTCTTATAATGGTAAATTGCCATGTTCAGGTGCGCAGTGCACTTGTTGAAAGGAACGTGAGGCTTCCATGACTGGAAAGAAACAGCACCGGTCCGGCTGTCTGTTTGTGTGTGTGTCCGTGTATTAAGTGGCCAGCTTCGGGCCAGACTCACGAGAACAGTTGCAAGCCAATGCAAGGCTGCAGGGTCATCAAGAGCACCCTTGACGGCAGCCCAAGCTGCAACTGTGAAAGCTGCTCGTGGCATCACGGCCAGTTGGGAGCCTCGGATCAGAGCTTCAGGAGAGGGTCATGGTGGTCGCGTCGCCCGTTTTGTGCTTAAACACTTGAGAGTAGCTCTCAGAAGCCTGGGGTTTCGCCAGTCTCAACAGCTTACGCTGGACAGTTTTGCAGTTTGTGCACTTGAAAAGCTGTTACGGCCTTTGGTCAACCCTTGCATGGTGCTGCAAGCAAGTAGTGTAGTAACCGCCGCACATTGAGAAGGTGCCCAACAGAAAGTTCAGGGATGAACTCCGAGGAACACGCTGTGGCCCAGCTCTTCTCCGAGAATCGCCCGACACTTCGCATTTGCACCAAGGCGCCTGAAGATCTCGGGTCTTCGTATCACGCGAAACTGCAACGCCAACCGTTACTACAGTTGCTTCTGGGGCTTTCAAATGACATTCGGACAAATTCGGGGCAGCGCACCGTGGGACGAGGCATCTGTTTCACCATCTGGGAAAGCTTCACTTGCAAGAACGAAGTTCTGAAAGGCCTCTACAGAATTTTGACGATTGCGCTGCAGGCATTGAGCGCATGCGATCGGGCACGGACACTTGACTGCAAGGCTTTTGGTGCATAGGGGCTTGCGATGTCGCGTTCTGTGTTTCTTCTTCCGCGGCGCTACACTTCAGAGCGTTTAACTATATAGCACACGAGCAGATGGTGCGATCACCACATCTAACTGCAGCTTAGGTCGTAGCAGTGCTTATCGGGCCAAGAGAGAAAAGGAAGTCAGGTGCACTTCAGTAACAGCTCGCCGATGCACGCCCAAAGAGTGTGGCTTATGGGTGTTTATTTAGAGACTGTTCGCACGAAGAGCGCATACGAGGCATTGCAGCTCCGACTGTGGCACGGTATTCTCGTTTACATTCGTGTTTCCCACAGACCTGGGATTCATTGTAAGATCCAATACTTCGACGCTGCGGAATTTGAGGCAGCGCTCTCTCGCCAGTGCCGTGCAGTGCCGCTGTATGTTTAACAGTTTTTGTTTTGTGTGGAGATCGTGTCCCTGCAACAGTCTCATGATTGTTTTGGCATGTTTGAAGCGCCGAGCTTATTTTGCGGTGCGGCTCTTCGCACCACCGTGCGTCTCCACCGTCCGAAGTCGACGGTCCCGCACATATTTTGGGGTGCGACTCGTGTTCTTGCCACAATGCGGTTGATTTTCTTGCATGCCCACCTTTCTCTGCAACGTGATATGCAGACAGCATTGGACGATACAAATAGTTGAATGCAGATGTAATTTCCGAGGCTCGAGTCCAGGCGCTGGATGGGTATGGGCGAGTTTGGAACCTGAATGTACCCTACAAGAAGGTTGTCAGTTGCCTCAGGCATAACATTCCAGACGAGCCGCGTGACCTGTGAAGATGCTGGAGGGATTCCGGAAAAGTCAGATGTGCAGCATGTTATGTACTAGTACGTGTTGTGCTTCTACCTTCACCGGCATCCCCACCTTCACTCTCACCTGCACCCTCAACTTCACTCTCACCCCTACCGCCGCCCGCACGCTGCACCTTCCCTCTTACGCCTTCGCCTCACCCTCGCCCTCACTTGATCGGGTCTCGCGAAGTGCTTGCGACAAGGAGTCGTGAACCCATGACATCCTACGATGTCGACATTTGGCTAGGAAATTGCAGGGGAGCACGCGAACCCGTGAATCTTCAACTCACTCCACAGAAAAAACGTGAGAACCCACAACGGGGGCGCAGTTGCTCAGGCAGGGGGTTTGAGCTACAGACCGCCTGATATAAAACTTCTGGACTTATGGCACGGCATCTCAGGGGACTCAGAAGTACTCCTGGAAAGGTTCTTGACTTGAACTGCCGATTGTTTTTCAGTGTTCGGGGTCCCTTTTGGCATAACAGAACGAACATTGACACATGACCGAATCCAACCTTGAGATACACTTGCAGGAAGTGGCAGCTGGCCTTAAATTTATTCGCTGATGTCCGGGCGAAGAGACTTGAGGCTTGGCCATGCATCTGGTCTCTCACCTTACAGCTTCCTAGACTTAGCTGGCTCGTAGATCCGGGCTCGTAGGAACAAGCCCACGAGCAGGCCAAAACAGGCCTACACCCACCCACAGACATATTGCTACAGTGTGATCCCGGAAGTGAAGTGATCAGCTTCGAAGTTGATCATCGACCACGCTCACGGTTAAAGAAGACATTTCCAAAAACGCACCGCCACGCACAGTATGTCTCTTTCGGGTCCCAAAGCCGAGAGGGTCCGAGGAATGAGGCATGTTGGGAGTTCGGAATGCCTGCAGAGCTATTCAAGATCAATCACGCATCGGCTGCGATTCGTGTCTCTGCGCAGGTGGACACCATCCTCTTCAACACCTTGCTTAGCGCCTGCGGCAAAGGTGCGAGACCGGGAACCGCGAGACATCACGACACCGACCGGAGGGCTGAAAAACCATTGGGGGGTTCCGATTCCAGGGATTGCCATGTTCTGATCGAAGCTTTTCTCAAGCCTGTCTTGTGGAATTTAAGTGACCACGGGAAGAATCGCGACTAGTTCCGAGCACTTATGATCTCATTGCGCTTGCACATGCAGTTCGAGAGGAGAGTTCTGGTCACTCGGGTGTGCCACCCTTTTGCATCGTGAAAGAGAATAACGTGGAGTACGTCCCGGAAGTCGATGCATACTCAATCATACTTATACTGAAATTGTCCTCCCAACGCTGTCAGCCTCACAACATGTTCTTCACTGCGCTGTCGGCAAGTGCAAGAACATGCGTTGAATCCGATCCCCGCCGTACGGTTTACACGAAGAAACAGCAAATCAACCCATTATGTTTCCAGCTGCAGCTTCCATCGTTTTGTCGACCGACGCCCGCTTCGTAGACTTTTGTTTGAATCGACATTTTGCCAAAAGTCACAAAGCCGACAGCGTTCAGCATCCAATCATGGTGTTGGGCAGCTAGCTGTGTACAGCGCTGCTCTCTCAAGATACTCCTGAATTGGCCACAGGCTCGCACTGGACTCAAGCGCTTCGCTGCTTCCAGGACGCTGCACAGATTTGCTTGAACTTCACAGTTTGGTAAGACTCCCAAGGCATCTTCAGCATCGCGACTGTGACTGTGAGTAACCACAAAGCCTCGGACCTAATCAGGCTTAAGATTGCAGCTACTTTATGTTTTATGGGTTTGTGAATTGGTGAGTTTGTTATTCGGGGACTGTTGAGTGGTGCCTTTGCAATCTTGACAGCTGTGCCTTGTACAAAGTGAGCAGTTTTGTGAAGTGGGGTCCACCAGGGTATCGGTTTCTGTTCGGGCTAGTGTGGACTCTTTCGGAAGACTGCTAGCGCAGGCGAGTTCGGTGTAGGCATCCTCTGCTAGCGGTAGCCTACTCGGTCTTGGAAACGAAGAGGTTGCTGTACCCCAGGACTTGCACACGCTACGACTCTCGAAGCTTTGTTCCCTGCAGTGCGACCTAGTCAGCGAAGCGGGTGGGAAAAAATCAGAAGCCTGTAAGAGGAGCTGCAGGATGCAAGCCTCCGCGCGGATATTGTCACATGCAACTCGCTCCTGGTCATCGTTTCAGATCCCACGTCCAATGTTGCTTCAGACTTTAAGGATGGCGGGGGTGCCTTTTCCACAGGCAGTTTCCGTTGATGCTCCTTCGGCTTTTCTAACTTTCATGCTTGCGAGATCCCCAACCCTGCGGGCCTCTGGATCGGAGCCTCATGCATAGCTGAGGCTCATCAGCGCCTGTGAGAGAGGTAGCGAGTGGCAGGTGGCACTGAAGTGCCTCCAGGACGGCTTGGAGGCAGGGAAGCGTTTCAAATCCGTTTGTCACTTCAAGCAAGGCTAAGGTGTAGGTGGGTAGGTGGGTAGGTGGGTAGGTGGGTAGGTGGGTAGGTGGGTAGGTGGGTGGGTGGGTAGGTAGGTAGGTAGGTAGGTAGGTAGGTAGGAGGTAGGTAGGGTGCGTGCGGGCGGGCGGGCGGGCGGGCGGGCGGGTGGGTGGGCGTGGGTGTGGGTGTGTGTGAGTTTGTGTGTGTGTGTGAGAGGGAGAGAGATGTTTTGATAAGGACGAATGCTGAAGCTGCTCGATTTCAGGGGCCGGGTTGACCGGCGGTGAGGGAACCACGATGGAAGTACAAGTACACAAGAAGCTCGGGCTGTTCGGATTTCGAGAAGCGACTTAGTTTGGATCTAGAGCTGCCTGACTCATCATCTCCGCGATCAGAGTTTGCAATCACATTATTTTTTAGTAGGACTGATTGCGAGAAGTCGTCAACATACGGCCTACATGTTTAGGATTCAGTGAGCCTGATATCATATGTTCTTCGGCCTCGTCGTGAGCATAGTCCTCAGCAGTGCGAGAGGGAAGAATGTTCTTCGGCGAAGCAGACATGCACTTAAAGGTTTCATCGCAGATGAGGCTGTATGCATCGCAACAGGTTCAGTTTCAAATCTAGGGCAAGGGAGTTCACGAAGCTCGGGCCAGCAGAACATCGAGAGTCCACTGCAAGCTTCTGTAAAGCCTTCTACCTGTGCGGAGTCGTACAAGCGGCGTAGCGCGAGCTACCGAAGCGACCGACCTTGGAGTTGCATCCTTTGCTTTGAGGCCGGCTTGGAACCGACTCTCGTAACTGTCAGCGCTGGGGTCAGTGCCGCTTAACAGAACTGCAGACAGTCATGTCGCAGGCCGCAGGCATCTGTGATCTGGAGGTGTAGGCTTTCAGCCTCATGCGCTTGAATGTTCGGAGTTTGTGGAATTGAGAATCAACTGAAAACTTCGTCTTTCTTGAACTCAGGGTTTCAGCATACTGGCAATGGCGGTGACCACCCTTTGCCCGTGCAAGTTGAGCGTGCCGTCCAAACTCTGCCGGTGTCAACATCATGTCAAGTTGCGCCAAAGGACCGCACATGATATCCACTAACATGAAAACACATTGTGACAGTCAGTCGAGACATTGGCATGTTATGAGGTTCCGCACGATGCTGAAAAAAACGGGTGGCTGTTCTTCAAACAAACATTCTGCAACGCCCACGTTTTACATGTTGATATCGCTTTGCAGGCATGGGAGCTTGCTCGCTACTCACAGAAATCTGGTGCAGAACAACCAACGGGACACTGCATGAGTTTGATGCGGAGCAATGTAGCAAAGGTCAGGGACACCGTAACGAATCTCACTGAATGGAAGTTGTGTTGTAGTTGGACACGGAAGAGCGAAATTGCAGATGTGATACCAGACAACGTTAGCAACATGACTGGCAGACATCGTGAAACACTGTAGGTAAGTTGTTAGGCCAGGCAGTGGGTTGTAGTAGAATTATGATTTCTACAATTGGAATGTGAGGTTTCCAGGGGTTTCCATGAGTTGGTCGCGGGATGAACTGCAAAATGACGCTTGCCAGCTCTCCTGGGATTGTGACATCTGCCTCCTTCAACTTGAACCAGTCGGACCAGTGTCGCTACAGACCTTGCCAGGCTTTGTCCGAATATGAGTGTCAAAAAAACTTGAACCAGATCAAACGGCGGAGTCGTGCCGAGGCCATGGAGAAGGGCAGTCAGTGGCAGAGCGCTGTGGAACTGGTTTCGTTGTCAGGCCAGCTTGCTACAGCAGTGTGCTCAGCGTCACTTCGGGTCTTGCTGCAGCCAGTTTGATTCTCAGAGCCCTGGAACGTAGGCGACGCGAGCATTGAAGCCGATGCAGCTCGGATGGACGACCGTACTCGTGCTGTATAAGATGTCGAAGGCCACCGCCTTCTACACGTAGGTTTCTATGCTTTTCGCTCAGACCTCTAAGGCAAAGTCCAAGGACACATATGTATATGTACATATTGGTAAAGAATTATATGTGTATATGTATATGGTCGCCCCCCAAGATCTACGCTTGCAGGCTGCACCATCTCATGCCTGTTTACACATATGTGTACACTAGTCTAAGTACAGAAACCACTGCAATATCGATATAAAAGCTTTCATCCTCGAATACATACGACCGTCCTGCTACGCTGCATCGATAAATCTGCAGCCGATTTTCGGCCGACAAAAATACAACTTCGTGTATTCGGAAAGTCGAAGCTGTTGGAAGGTATTGCACGTGATTTGCTGTGTTATTCAAAATCCTCGTGTGTTTTTGAATTTATTTCGGTTGTGAATCTAGGCTATTAATCGGTGGGCTCCTCCCGATTTTCCGCATTTAAACCGTTGTCTATAGGGTATGCTATAGGGTGTTCTACAAAGTATACTAAAGGGTATCCTAAAGGGTATTGTAGAGAACAGTCTATGAGGCATATTTAATTGAGGTATACAGAAGGTGTATTACACAGGCGGTCTTCTGTAAGGTATTCTACAACAGGGTATTCCAGATGGTTCTCGATAGGGCATTCTATAACGTAGTCTATAGGTTCTCCATAACGTATTGTACAAAAGCCCGTCTGTAGCCTTTACTTAGGACGGTATTCTATAAGGTAGATGAAAACAGTTCAAGTGGGGACTGCACAGATCTTGGGCTCCGACTGGTCTTCCATATTACAAATCCTTATCTGTAGGATACTTTATAGGGTATCCTATAGGGGATTCTAAAGGTATCCTGTAAGGTATTCTATAGATGTTCTATATGGCTTACATAAGATATACGGAGGGTATCATATATAGGCGGTCTTCTATAAGGTATTCTACAGGGTATTCCAAATGGCATTCTTTAGAAGGTATAGGGGGAGCGTATACCCGCATCCACTATATGGTAGTCTAAACGGTATTCTAAAGGTTATTCTACAAGGTATTGTAGAAGGTATTCTACTGGGTATGTACAGGGATTATTTTATACGGTATCTTGTTCTCTATATGCATCCCTTACTAGATAAGTTTCCATTTGTTCAAGGAGTTCCTAGATCCTAGATTCCGCATTTCCTTCATATGAAACCCTGTCCCAGTAAATCACAAGTTAATTGGGGAACGCTCAGATCTTGTCAGATCTTGGGCTCCTCCCGATCTTTCCTATATAAATTCTTTTTCTGAAGAATATTCTTAGGGTATTATGAGGTATTCTATAGGGTATGTACAGCTCTTATTCAACAAGATATAAACAAGGCATATAGGGGGCATTCTATAAGGTATTACCGTATGTTATAAGAAGCTTCTCTCAGGTTTGAAGGTATTCTACAGGCTATTCTCCTTTATTCCTCATTTCTTTCCTTGAATCCCTAGCTCAATAAGCTACAAGATCTCGGGCTCCTCTTAATTTCTCTTATATAAATCCATGTCTATAGGGTCTCTTTCGGGTATATCAACAGGGATTCTCAAGGGTATATATGAGGTATACGGGGGGTATCATGTAGAGGGTTTTACAGTATTCCAGATGGTATTCTATAAGGCCTATGTATGGTATTTAGGAGAAAAGCAAGGTAGTCTATGGGGCAGCCTATAGGGATTTCCATAAGGTATTGTATAAAAGGTATTCTATAGGGTGTATGTATAGAAAAGAACTCCATAAAGGTATTCTATAGGCTAAAGGGTATTAGGCTAAAGGGTAGTCCGTAAAGGTATATACACATATATAGATTGGTATTACCCAGGGTATTCTATATGAAGTATTGAAAAGTATATAGAAGGGGTATTCTATAAGGTATTTTGAAGGCTATTCTTCTACTAGCAGGTTCCTGATTTCCAATAAGCTACAACTCAACTGGAAATTGCCCATGGCTTCGTGTACTGCCAGAGATCAGTAGCCTTGGAGTCACACTTGATTGTGTACAGCTGCGCACTCATCACATGTTCCTTATCAAGACCCTTTGATAAGCACTCATTGGCTCAACACTTCGGCTGGAGGGGAGCGGAACGGACCAGGCGGTTTTGCTCTAGGCACCAGCCCCGAAACCGATTGAGTTCATAATGCTCGCTCTGGCCGCGGCTGATGTTCATGCTTATGTTACACGCCCCGGGCAACGGACCAAGCGGTTTTGCTTTCTGCACCAGCCCCGAAACCGATTGATGTTCATGATGCGCGCTCCGGCTGCAGCTGATGCTCATGCTTTTACACGCCCCAGGCTTCCAGATTTCCAGATTGATGGGCCCTAGATTCCAGATTTCCAGATTTGCACGCCCTATGTTTCCAGATTCCAGATTTCGGGTAATTTGGAATCTGGAAAACTTAGGGCGTGTAAGTCTGGAATCTGGCATCTCTGGAAACTTAGGGTGTGCAAATCTGGAATCTGGAAACTTATGTCCTGCAGATAGCCGGCAATGGGGAAATCCAGAATCTGTAAACCTGCAGACGTAGATCTTGAGAGGGGGCGCGAAAACATATATATATATATATATGGTATTAGTTAATTTGTTTATGTGTGTATATATACATGTATGGGCATTATGCATATACGCATATAATATTGTGTATGCATATGTGTATAAACATACACACATATGTATGGCACGTGTATTTCTTTTTATGTAGACTTCATTCACTGATTGTTTTCATGATTACATCTTGTCACATGTCGCGTCAATGCTCGCCATACACACTTACGGCTTCTGCGGACCCTTTTTGGATTCTTCAGTTTGCAAGCGCTTCTTAGGCAGTGCAAAGCGCATACTGAGGTGATTCTGTACAGCTCACTGGCGACTGCATGTGGCCGTGGCCATGCTTGGACGCGCCTTGGGATACTTATCGGATCTTATCAGCAAGACATTTTGCACCTGTGTAAGCACGTGGATGTGGTGTAAACATATTTGTTTCCCCAAGCCGTGTTGTACACACCGGGGTTCTTACGTGCAAGGCTCTCCAAACAGTGTGGTAAGAGATTGGGGTTCCTACTGTACTTTCAGCGTGAAGAGAATTGGTGAGGCGCACGCCGCATGTGAAATATTCGGCGCTGTCTTGTGTGGCGCGGCGCATAGTCTGTCGCTCACATCCCGTCATTTACATAGTTCGGCGCTGCCGTGTTTTTCGGAAAGCATGACTCATTGCAGATTCCAGTAGATTGGCCTCAGCGGACGAAGGAGGAAAAGCATTGTGGGCATTGTGGCAATCCCTTCAACAAGTATGAAACAGTCCCCCCCCCAGTAAAAACTGGGAAAGTGTGCTTAATGGTGTATTGTATCTCTGCTGTCACATCCTGCTTTTGCTCCTGTGCTCTGGTATCTTTGAGCAGCAGGAGTTCAGATAGACCCTGAGCATTAACCTGCGTCCTTGTTCTTGCGGAGAGCTCAGCCCCAGTACGGGAGGCAGCTCAGTGCTGTACTCAAACCCCAAACATTGACCCTGAGAGGTGGGCATTGGATGTGTGGGCTGATTTGATCCGTGTCTGCAATGGGAATGATTTTCTGCATCTGGCGATTTGGGTTTTTGATAGCATATTCATGGCTTGGGAGAAAAGACAATGAGTTGGCCGGAGTTGAGTCCAGACACTTTGGAAGCACAAACTCCAGACGCGGATCAAGGGGACACAAAGATGGCCAAGCGAGACGGTTGTGCTATTAATCACACACCCACATCGCCCCACGTGCCGAGAAAGGAAGGATCGCGACCAGTGTGTGAACACCGTCCTTTGTTCGACATGCATCAGCGCCTGTGCCTTGAGCAGCCGGTGGATGCAGGCCGGTTTCTTCACTGCAAGGGTCACAGGAGGAAGCCTGTGCAGAGATGTTCGGGGGCTGTCAGATCGCGAACATCGGATTGAAACCATCGCGTGGCACCACAAAGCTCTCAATTAGTCCCACATATGTCTCATAAGCCTGACCCAAACTTGACCGAGCACGGATAACTGATAATGACTCTTGATGGCCCTCGTAAAGACCTTTGTGCCCCCCAAGTTCATGCTTCCCTGTGTGACCAGGTGTCTCAAATCGTGGATGTGTAGCCGGCCCATTCTGGTGTTTACAAATGAGCAAGATCCACCAATTAGTTGCTTAACTTCTGGTGCCAATCGACTGACGAGGATAGTCTGCTCGCCTGTCACATGTCGCAAAGGACCACGGAAGCAACTCGTAACTCACCTGCCGAACGGATTCGCCCCTAAGTGAAAACTTTCCATTCAGACTTCAACATGCCGAAGCTACCAAGACTCCGGACCCGACCCTTCAGCTCACTGCAGCATTCATTCGAGTGTTTGGTGGGAGGCTCTGGCATTGCACAAAGAGTACGATGAGCTGAGTTTGGACAGCTCACGGCTCCGCTCAAACTGAACAGTGGGATGGGCACCTGCGGGTTGACACTTCAGGGTTGTCTAGAAACTTTAGAGCAGGGCTTGAGTAGAAGCTGGCTCCAGCCAAGAACCAGGGGTTCACTGCCATGCTATTGTGTTCGACTTGAGAAGGATGGAGAGTCATAGAGCGGCGAACACCTTGTTGACCGTCTGTTGGTTTAACGCATCCACGAACCCGTGATGATGATAATGATGGTGATGATGGTGATGGTGATGTTGATGATTATGATGATGAGCCAAGACGGTAGTCGCGAAGCCAGGATCTGCAAACACGTGGCAGACACTGTTCTTATGGTTTTTCTCTATGTATACAAATACACACATATACACACCAAAACACGCATGCACACGAAAAGACCGACAGATGGGTCCTCCCCTCGCCAGTCAGAATGAAAGCGTTTGGACTCTTTTCCAATTTTTTTGAGCCTTCGCCACGCGGAGTCAAACCAGTTACAACATGTCTACCTAGAAATTGGCCTACTGCCACAGCCAAAGGAAACACATGTCACTGTCTAGGTAGAAGTATGCTAAGTGGGGCTGTAAAAGTTTCATCACCCCGCCTGAGTTTCACTTGTATTGACATGTGAAACTCACCGAAACTCTCACCTCGAGGGGGGAACTTGTTTCATACTGTGCACCAGATGCCCTTTGAGAATCGTAAACGAAAATCCGGAGGAGAAGGATACAGTGGCCTTCGGCGCCATGCTCAATGCCTTTGCTATCGGAGGCTTGTGGCAAGAGGCCATATCGTCCCTTGTCTCGTCTTCATGGTTGAGCTTGAGGCATCGCCATGGCCACCATGAAAGGATTAGGACCATCAGGACGTCAAACGCATCCCGGAACCTTGAAAAGCAGTGGATTGCAACTCGGGAGCCTGACATTTTGAACTTTGGTGTTCGATTCCGCACCTCAGCGAAAAGCCGAAACCCAAAAGGAGAAGTTGGCATCCAGTTTCCATGGTCACGCAAAGTAAGGCTTCTGACCACGATGGCCGCGGCAGCAGTTCAGCCAAGTCTGGTGCCTTGATTGGCAAAACAAAGGGCTTGTGGACTGGGGCCTGCAGCTCGAGGCACTGCAGCGACGACTAGAATTGACTAGAGACTAGAAAGTGTTGTTGGCGATGCGCGGGACGGAGAAAAGGCCAGGACGAAAGGTTTCGGAGAAGACTGGAGGCTGACCCCAAGGCCTCGTCATGGCAGTGAAGGCTACATCGACGGACGAAACACTGACTCTCCTTCTGAAAGCAAGGTTTCCAGCACAACACCCCGAAACAGCAAAGCCAACGCTCCGAAGCAATCCTATCCCTTCGGCCAGCTTCAGTCACTACGATTGTATCCAAGCTGCTCCACTGAGATCGGCTACAACACAGCGATCAGTGCTTGCGAGGGCAAATACCGTTGGGCAGAGGCTCTTCAGCTGCTTGCGAGCTGCTCTCCGGCGGGATTGCAGGTGGCCAAGGGCGCCATGAGAATTAGGGCCCAGGGTTCCAGGATTCGGCATGAAAAGGCTGCTGCATCTTGGAGGTGTGAAGCTGGCACAAAGGTTGCAATTTAATATTCTGCACGCTGGCATAGCTGCTACGTTATCAGAAGCTCAGATCGAGGCAATGGAATTATTATTTATATATAGACATATAAGTATATGCGTGTGTGTGTGTGTGCATGTATGTGTATGTTTTTGCAAATGTATGTGTATGTCCGCTGATTCGCCGACCAACACTACAATGAGCATGTGTCAGGATGTGTTATGGCGCTTTACGAAGTGGAAGACCATGCGTTGTTTTACTGTTCCACCCTGCCAGACGTCAGTAGAGGCCGATATCGTCACTTACGGTGCCGTGCTCAGCGTATGTGAGAAGAGCCTGCGCTGGGAAGAGGCTATGGCTGTGTTGAGGCAGCGATTTAAAGTGGTCCATGGGTAGTGGAACCGCAAAACGAATCGGCGACCCCGGTAGGTTTTCCACAAGCCTAGACTCTAACGCACCTCTCAAATCTGCTTCGGCTGGTGACCGCTCTTAAAAACGTTAACCTGGGTCCACGCTTGGTTTTGTTTCCGTAAAGACTGTCAGCATTGGTTATTGGTTCATTTCAACGTAGCCTTTCAAACACGCCGGAGCAGGGCAGTGCCCACTGCAGGAGTGCCGAAAAGCGAGCAGTGGATATCAATCTCATCGCCGCCAGTGCTGCCGTAAGTGCCTGCGAGAAGGGCAGCCAATGGGAGAAGGCCCTGGGGCTCTTTGCAGAGTTCCAGCACAGAGACTCAGGTGCCTGCTCGTCAAACGAGTTCCATCAAGGGTCGCGCACTCCGCTCATTTCTACATTCTCCATGTCACACATTTCGGCTGGTAGCACACTGAGTAATCTTCTCTGCTGAGGCGCATGCCGCACACTTGGCCCCCCCCAACTATGAAGGTGCGTTGACACTCGACACAAAGTCGGGCGGGTGAACACCGAATATGCCGCACATTGGGCTCCCGCCACGATGTCGACATCCGGGATGGGAGGGTGGGTGAAAAAGAAAGCTTGAATGTCATGGTGACATATCTTTCATGTTGTTGATATCATGACGACATCCACACAAGCTCCCATGAACATCACATGCTTCTTTATGCATTGAGCCATGTCCGGGAGCGTGAAGATTGTCAACATCAAGAGCATGCAAAATGTCGAAACCTGTGTGACAGAAACACATGCCATAAACCAAATCCAAAATCGCATGCAAATTTGTTTCATGAGAATATGAGTGGTCGCCAACGGATCTTCTTTTTTGAAGGCTTCACAATCAGTGCGAAGCCCATCAAAATGGAACGAGAAAGTCCACCGGCTCGCCTCCGGCTGTCTTATCGTTTCGATGTGACCCTCAAACAAAGTTGAGCTGTGAAAGATTAAACACCAATCAAAATAGGAGCGCGCTTAGGAGATGGCTCGTATCAATATTCGGTCCTTGTCCCGCCGTTTGAACTGAAAAGGCTACAGCTCTCGGGAGGCAGGTTTGAGGTCAAGGAGAAAACCTGTCAAGACAAAGGCCTTGTGCGTGCCTGTGTGCGGGCGGGGTGGGCGGGGGTGGGGGCGGGTGGGTGGCTGGTGGCACGAGGGCGGGGGGCTGGCTGGTCGGCCGGGTGGGCGGTTGGGTGGGCGCGCGCGTGGGTCTGTGAGTGAGTGAGTGAGTGTGAATCACGAAAGATCTTGCTGCGGGGGTTCTTCAGAAAGTGGCCTCTTCAAGTGCCATGGAAAACAACTACTGCTGATCATGGTTTCCCCCCCTGTGTTTGAACCGTTGGTGGAATCTGAGGCTGTGCCCATGGCAAGCTAATGAAGGGGTCAGATCAAGGGAAGATTCCATGCGCGAAACCTTAGCTTCAAGCCAGGTTCGGACAACTTCCCACCATGTGCCAAAATCGGCCGCAGTCCCTCCCAAGTGTCGGCCCTGTTCGGAAAAGGAAACAGCAAAATCAAAGCACTCTGAAGAACAACCAAGAAAACTGAATACTTAGAAAAATCAGAAAATAGAGAATAACAGGCAAAACAAAAAACCACGTCTTCTGGTGTCTTTGTCGCGAATGATTTTCAGAGGACATGCTGCACGATGTTTTCGCGGCTAGTCTCCTGAAAGGAGGAGAAGAAGAGCCTTGAGTACCTCATGGCCATACCGCCTGGACTGGAAGTCCGAGCGTTCTGTCCCCAGTCCCCAGGTTGTCGGAATGATTCTAAAGTCTTCTGATGTTTGCTGAACTAGTTGGTCATTCTTCTGATCCATGCTGATATCGCATGCTGCGTGTTCCACAACTGAAGAGACCCCTCTTCTAAGTGGGTGTGAGTGTGCGCGTGTTTGTCCGGCCGTCTGTCGGTCTGTCTGTCTGTCTGTCTGTCTGTTTGCATGCATGCATGTATACATAATACATACGTATTTGCATGCATGCATGTATACATAATACATACGTACACTTGTGCATCTGTTGAAATATTTGTTTGTTTGTTTGTTTGACGTGTGTGATTTCTTGCTCTTCTGGACCCAAAATCAGGTACCGTCCAAAAGTCAGAGCAAGCCGACATCGTCGTGTACAGCGCCGTCATCAGCTCGTGCTCGAAGTGCGCGAGGTGGCAGATTGCTGTCGGACTGCTGCAGGACTTCGAGCAGGCCGCAGCGGCCCAAATAGCAAATGCGCAAACATACAACGCGGCGATGCTCGCCTGTGTCACGGGGCATGCCTGGAGGACGGCTGCGGCACTCGCATTGCAAATGGAGCGCCAGCAGGTGGAAACCGACGTGATTGCTTCCTGTACCCTAGTTGGTGCCTTCGTCGCCGGTGAGCAGCCGGTGCAAGCCGCGGCCTGCATGGACGTGCTGCACCATCGAGCACTCGCAGCCACGCCCGCATGACTTTCGTGTGCCGAAAGCGGAGGCATGCCCGTCCAAGCTGTCCCCCTTCCTTATCGAGAAGTCACACTTTGGCAGTCTGGCTCTCCAATTTACAGCCTTTCACAGATACCAGGACTCCCCAAGGCCTCGCAGAAGAAGGCTCGTGTGTTAGGGATTCGGCACGTCGAAACCACCGACGGGCTAGAACTGCCATGTGGCCTAGCGAATGCATGATGCACACAGCAAAGTGTCCCTTATAGGCTTTGTGTACACGTTGTCCTCTGCTCGAGGAGCGTTCCATCGTTTCCGACATGTTATGGGGACACTAGCTCAATTGCCGCACGTAGCGTCGAGGGAATCTGTTTGGAGGCTACCGGGGTAGTTTCCACGCAGGCTGTGAGACTGGTGCCGGAGAAATGCGCATCAAAATACGGAGTGCTGAAGCAAAAGCTGAAGCATGAGTGAACCACAAACCATCGAAATCAGACTTCCGGCTTCAAACACAAACCAAGTTAGATCAGAGTCTTTCAGGATTCCGACAATGCGCCCTCTTGTCTTCGGGAGATGCCTACATGTCAGTTGCTCCAGAACGCAATGCAAAACTGTGGTGGCCGTAGCAGAGACGTCTGAGAAGCAGTAGTCAGTAGTCCTGCACTTCTCTGCTAGCGGCAGGAGGGACTGCATCGGCAACGCCAACCCGGCCACGTTGCAGGGACTTCGGATAGGATGGGATTTATCATGATACTTCGTGCCACGTGACAGTGCAGTCATGCTGTTGCCTAGAACTTCCGGTGTGGGGATAGAAGCATAGGGCATTTCGTTCTATTCTTGAAAACTCCCATGTTTTGTGGTCAAGTGGGTCTTGAATATTGAACACAGCTCCTTTTGAATGGCGGCCTGGGTCCGAGCAGTCTGGTGCTTTGCAGTGCTCATCACTGTGCAGTCATGCTCGAGGCATGTTGTCCAGTACCGCCGGAGCCCGGAGCGATGGCAGTTGCGACTGGTAGTCCTGTGACGGAAGGGGCAATGCGTCAATCTCCTTGCATCCGCCACATTCACAGGATAAAACAAAGTCCCGTAATGTTTTAGATGCTACGCCCTTTCACCGTGGACTTAAGCATCGCCCGCCTCGCATGTACTTGGTCCAAGGTCCCAGTTAGGGATCGGCCAGTCTGATTTTGCGCCGCCATTCGTGTCGCGTTGTCAGTCAGTACACGTTTGCAGAGGAAGCACACTTTGCGGCGTGCCTTCAATTGACCTTTCTGTAAAACCTGCTCTTAAAGCCCTAAGCCCCAAGACTCTCGACACTCAACCTAGCCGCCTAGCCTGATCGGCGCGACCAACAGGATGCCTACGCCTACAGTGCTACAGCCTACAGACCTACAGTGCAGTGTCACTTCTATTCGGGCGCAAACAATTAGATATCCGGCTACACGCCCTTGGATGCGGCACGGCTGGGTTCTCAGAGCTCTCCTGTGGACCAACCTTCAGGCTGCAGATGGCTGCAGGCTGATTCCTCATCTCAGCCTGTCAAGGCTGGAGCTGGAAGTCGACACCAGCGGACCGCTGTGTGTTTTATGGGGTCAGTTGGCAGCTTGGCCGCAGTGCACAGGAGAATTCCGCCCTGGGCTGGGGCTTTGGATTGGCTTAGGCGGTGAAAGCTCTCAGGCAACAGAGCACGCTGCATATTCGGAGGCCGGCATTGCTCCGGCATAGTAGGAAGTAGACAGAAAGAAACGCCACTGCCGTTGTGCTTGTGATCAAAAGCCCCTAAAGAAGCCCTTGCCGTTGTCAACCAGGCACACGCAGACCCGCCCCCCTGACGAATCGTGCTTCCCAGGTAGGCCGCAATGGGCCAGCAGGGTAGCCGAGCAGACGACGGCGAAGCAGCTCGGCAAAAGATGCAGATTGGTCTTAGAGCGTGTGGGGTTCCTGTGTTGCAGGTATTCGCAAGTCGTACAGTGTTCATCGTGGTAGCCGTCGCCATTTTGAGCTCTCGAGGGTAAGGAAGACTCTGGCATCATTGAAATTGGCGATAGGCCGCTCAAGCTTGCACGAGCATTAACGTTAAAGACGGGATGCAGCAAGTAAGAGGCATGAGGGGCATCAGCGAGCCCCTTGAGGCAAAGACTCCGTCAAAGCACGCGAAAGAGAGAAAGAGGATGCGTTTTGATGGGGTTGCGCTAACCCAAGTCGGGGGGACTGCCCTCGGCAAAGCAAAGCATCCGTCTTGACTTAATCGTTGTGGCAACTCTTGATGGATTTAGCCGAATCTCTCTCGGTTCACCACCCGTGCGTTCCGACTAGCCGGCAAAAGGTCGGGGCTTAAATACCGGCAAGCCTGAACGCTCATTACGCCCGGGAGAAAGGGTGCAAAATTCCACTATACAATCCAGACAGCGAGAGCAATCTAACACGAGATCAATCCCTTTCCACAATCACACAATCACGAACACTTCTTTATGCAACCAGGCAGTCCGTCCAGTCGGTCTTGAGCCAATGCCATTC